GAAATACATTTGCTAAATTTTATCGAGATCGGTTCAGATTTGGATATAGCTCCCATATATATAACTTCGTCCGATTTACCTTTTATTGTACACCAAACGTCTAATATTTGTCCAAATGGGATGAAATTTGACACTTACGACCGAAATTGAGTCTAAAAGCTAGTGTGTCAAATTTGGTGAAAATCGGTTCAGATATAGCTATAGCTCCCATATATATACTGTTCATCCGACTTGTTATATTAGTTACCCACAGCCGTAATATGCACTCTGTAACAACAATATTTGGGGAAATATATCAAATACAGCTCAGAAATACATTTGCCAAATTTTATCGAGATCGGTTCAGATTTGGATATAGCTCCCATATATATAACTTCGTCCGATTTACCTTTTATTGTACACCAAACGTCTAATATTTGTCCAAATGGGATGAAATTTGACACTTACGACCGAAATTGAGTCTAAAAGCTAGTGTGTCAAATTTGGTGAAAATCGGTTCAGATATAGCTATAGCTCCCATATATATACTGTTCATCCGATTTGTTATATTTGTTACCCACAGCCGTAATATGCACTCTGTAACAACAATATTTGGGGAAATATATCAAATACAGCTCAGAAATACATTTGCCAAATTTTATCGAGATCGGTTCAGATTTGGATATAGCTCCCATATATAACTTCGTCCGATTTACCTTTTTACGGTGCACCAAACGCCTAATATTTGTCCAAATGGGATGGAATTTGGCACTTACGACCGAATTGAGTCTAGAAGCTAGTATGTCAAATTTGATGAAGATCGGTTCAGATATAGCTATAGCTCCCATATATATACTGTTCATCCGATTTGTTATATTTGTTACCCACAGCCGTAATATGCACTCCGTAACAACGATATTCAGGGAAATATCTGAAATACAGCTCAGAAATATCTTTGCCAAATTTTATCGAGTTCGGTTCCGATTTGGATATAACTCCCATATATATCTTTATCCGATTTCAAATTAATTGTGCACCAAATGGGCAATACAAGTCCGAACTTCTTTGAACCTTAAATTATAATTATAATCAAAGCAGGTATGATTGAATTCTTCCATAAAAACTTTTAATTGTTATGCGGAGCTCTACTTAATTAGCAAAGTGGTGTAGGGTATCATAAAGTCGGCTCCGCCCGAATTTAAGTCTTTCTTTACTGTTTTTTTTTTTTTTTTGTAAATTATTCTGAATTATTTTTTTTTTATATGAGGAAAAATTTTGAATTTAATTTTCAATGGAAGCAGAACGATGCACTAGATCTTCTTACGAGTGAAACTCCTTCGATCGATTTTCTTCGGAAGAATTCTTTTTAGTCAATAAAAGAAGCGTTGAGATAAAATCATCTATCGGTGGATAAAATTTTCACGATTCCTTCCATGTCAGAAGATCTCTTCACGAGGTTTTCATTGCTACGAGTTAAGAAGACCTCTAATGTTTTGGAAGAGGGAATCTTTTAGGGTCTCTCTTTGGAGAAAATCGCTTCAAGAGGATTTCATGAGAAGAATTATTCTTTATGATATATTCTGTGAAAGAGGATCTCACTAGAGATTTTCTATGGAAAAATATTGCATGTCAAAAGTTTCCATGGAAAATTACCTTTATATGAAATAAAAATCTTCCATGGAAGATGACCTCTTTATAATTGTTATATTTTAAATGAAATGCTTTGATGAATTCTTACTGAAGGTTTTCTAGAAAGATTGAACAACAAATTCTCTCCGGATATTGTGGTTTCTATTGTTCTATGGCCAGTTCTGTTTACAGTTATAGCTATTACCTATTCAGAGTGAACATAGCTGCCACGGCTATTTTCATTTCGTCAATTATCATCCATACGGATCAGGTGCAACAAAGGTTAGGTCAAACTTACTTTTCAATACAAAACAATACAAAGGCAACATCTTAAACAAAACAATGAACAGATCATAAATTTTAAGCCACTAATTTTGACACACTGAATGGGGGAAATGAAGAAAATCTATTTCCATGGAGGAGTTTATGACAATGGCTGGAGAATTATGAATGGGAAAATACCTAATTAGAAGAACTTAAGAGTAAATTTTGTCAAAAGGTATAAAACGAACTGATGATGGCTTTGACAGCCAGTCAAATTGAAGACTTTGTAGAGCTCACAACATTTTACAAAAATCTCTTGAAGCTATGAAAACACTACTCCCTTTGCTATTAATTTTGGGTGAGTTCAAATAAGAATTTCCAAAAAAATTCCAAATTTTCTAAATTTTATTTCCATCACCTCCCCAGGTTTGAGCTCCTTTGCCCATGCCATTTTGAAGTCATGTATCTGTGAGGCCGGTCCAAATGGTGTGCCCGGCCACCAAGGTCCGCCTGGCCAAAAAGGTGACAAAGGCAATAGGGGTGTAACTGGTGCACCGGGTGTTCAAGGACCGACCGGACCAATTGGCCAAAAAGGTGATCGGGGTCAGAAAGGTGAACCTGGTTCTCGTGTAGGTCCACGTGGCCCACCTGGGCCGGTTGGATTAACCGGTGTCTGTCCAGTATGTCGTGTACCCAGATCTACAATGGAAGAGGAACCCACGCTGGAACCCAACACCATATATCGGGTAACAGAAACAGGTGATTTGGCTGCTGTGCGAAAAGTAAATCCCTCCCCTGCGGTGAGATCTCTTTTAAAGGAACACATGCGTTCCCTGAGACAAGAGGAGGGTGGCTATGATGAGAGAACAGAATAAAAATTTTAATGAGACAAAACAAAAAATCTTTTCTATTTGAAAAATAAACAAAAAATTAAAATTTTTGGTGAGGGTCACTCATGGTCCGAGGGGGTCAGATAAGGCTGAGTTTTTGGAAATTAGTAGTAGAACGGTACGAAAAATATTAAAAGGTACTTAATGTGGTACCCTTTGTATATGAGGAAGCAATAGAGCTAGGTTTTTAAATTTGAAACGAGGCTCACGAAGCCTTAGACCTGCATACGAAATTTTTTGCCATAGGTTGAATTACCCATTAAGATCTTCCAATACCAAATTTGAAACGATTCCGGTGAAAAATGTCGCTAAAATCATCAAAATACCGAATATCGGGAGGTTCCGTTATATGGGGGCTATATGAAAACGTGGACCTGCACAGACAATTTTCCGTCTTAGGCTGTAGTATCCCTTGCGAACTTTGAATACCAAATTTGAAACAATTCCGATGAATAATGTTGCTAAAATCATCAAAATACCGAATATCGGGGGGTTCCGTTATATGGGGGGCTATACGAAGACGTGGATCTGCTCAGACAATTTTCTGTCTTAGGCTGTAGTATCCTTTGCGAACTTCAAATACCAAATTTGAAACAATTCCGGTGAATAATGTCGGTAAAATCGTCAAAATACCGAATATCGGGAGGTACCGTTATATGGGGGCTATACGAAGTCGTGGACCCTTACAGACAATTTTCTGTCTCAGTCCGTAGTATCTATTACGAACTCTAAATACGTAATTTGAAACAATTCCGGTAAATAATGTCGCAAATATAATGAAAATACCGAATATCGGGAGGTACCGTTATATGGGGGCTATACGAAGACATAGACCTGCACAGACAATTTTCTGTTTTTGACTGTAGTATCCATTTCGAACTTCATATACCAAATTTGAAATGATTCCGCTGAAAAATGGTGCTGAAATCATCGAAATACCGAATATCAGGAGGTACCGTTATATGGGGGCTATACGAAGACGTAGACCTGCAAAGACAATTTTCTGTCCTAGGCTGTAGTATCCATTACGAACTTCAAATACCAAATTTGAAACAATTCCGGCGAATAATGTCGCCAAAATCATCAAAATATCGAATATTGGGAGGTACCGTTATATGGGGGATATACGAAGACGTGGACCTGCACACATAATTTTCTGTCTTAGGCTGTAGTATCTATTACGAACTTCAAATACCAAATTTGAAACAATTCCTGTGAATAGTGTCGCAAAAATAATGAAAATACCGAATATCGGAGGTACCGTTATATAGGGGCTATACGAAGTCGTGGACCTGTACAGACAATTTTCTGCCATAGGCTGTAGTATCTATTGCGAACTTCAAATACCAAATTTGAAACAATTCCGATGAATGATGTCCTAAAATCATTAAAATACCGAAGATCGGGAGGTACTGTTATATGGGGGCTATACGAAGACGTGTACCTGCACAGACAATTTTCTGCCTAAGCCTGTAGCATCTATTGCGAACTTTAAATACCAAATTTGAAACAATTCCGGTGAATAATGTCGCCAAAATCATCAAAATACCGAATATCGGGAGGTACCGTTATATGGGGTCTATACGAAGACGTGTTCCTGCACAGACAATTTTCTGCCTAAGGCTGTAGTATCCATTACGAACTTCTAATACCAAATTTGAAACAATTCCGGGGATTAATGTTGCTGAAATCATCAAAATACCGAATATCGGGAGGTACTGTTATATGGGGGCTATATGAAGACTTGGACCTGTTCAGACAATTTTATGCCATAGGCTAAAGTATTCATTACGAACTTCAAATACCAAATTTGAAACAATTCCGGTGAATAATGTCGCTGAAATCATCAAAATATCGAATATCGGGAGGTACCGTTATATGGGGGCGAAGACGTGAACCTACATGGCCTATTTTCAATACCAAAAGTCCTGTAGGCATAATATACATTTGAGTAAAATTTTATCAATCTACTTCATTTCGTTCGCAAGCTAGAGTGACTTCCACTGACTTAACTTAATACACCCTCCATGCTATGGCGGAGGGTATAAAAATTACAAAAAAAAAAAAAAATTACCAACGGATTTTAATATTTTTCTCTTGAAAAATTTTTCAAATTATTTTGAGGTTATTCATAGCAACGCCTCTTTGAAAACGGTACCAGTTTCGGTTTATGACCCGACAACCCATTTATAATGGCCAAACAAATTTCCCCCGAATTTCAAATCACCTGTAACTAGCTCTCATTTCACTCATATCTTTATTTGTTTATACATTTTTTTTTTCAAAAATCAAAATTTACAACCTACAATAATCGAAGTCACGTTTTACGATAAGGTATCGCAGGCCTTGAGGCCATCTCCAATGCACGCCGCATAGGCCATCATATGGGGTATGGTATTTTGTTCATAGACCCCGGTAAAGAGATGTGACCAAGGCCCCACGGCAAAAACGCCCACATCTTCACCTCCATGGGTTTCGGTAGAGAGGGGAGCGGTGGCGGGGAATAGGTCATTGGCATCACCGGTCAACACCAAATTGGGGTCAATACGTTTGGTGGCCTTGTCATTGAAATAGGAATAATAACCCTGGCCATTGGCATAGCTAAGGGGCGAATAGGCCATACCATCGCTGTCCGAGGTGCGTAGACTGAAAATATCCGTACCACGATCCTGATAACCAGCCACGCTAAAGGTGTGCGAGTGATCTGAGGTCACCACAATAAGTGTGTCCTCCTCACTGGTCATTTGTCGTGCCAAGGCAATGGCCTGTGAAAATTCCTTGGTTTCATCCAAGGCCATGCGGGCCTTGTTGGAGTGGTGGCCCAAATCAATTTTACCCCCCTCCACAAAGAGGAAGAAACCCTTGTCATTATCCTGCTGCATGAATTCAATGGCTTTTTTGGTCATCTCCTCCAAGGTGGGTTGAGTGTTGCTCGGATTGGCAATGGCATCCAGATGGTAGTCCATGTGGTTACTGCTAAAGGTACCCAGCAGGCGATCAATTTTTGTCAAATCCAAATTTTCCAATTCCTCTCTGGTCTCCACGTAGGCATTGCGGGGGGACATTTCCAGGAACTCTTCGATGAGATTACGGCCATCTGTGCGCAAACCCTTGCTGTAGACGGACTTGTCAAGGAAGTTGCGCTTGCCACCACCCATCATGACCTTGAGGCGTGAACCCACCTCTCCATGTATCAATTGCACGGCAATATCGTCGAGGCCACTGTCGACACCACAATATGACTCCAGATCATCATTGTTCTCCCATTCACGATCCGCCGTGTGGGCATACACCCCAGCCGGTGAGGCATGGGTTATTCTGGTGGTGGTCACAAAACCGGCTGATTTACCCGCATCCATGGCCCATTTGGCAATGGAGTAAACATGATTGGAGCTATCACGCATTGCCTCACAGTTGTCGCGATTGACATGGGCATTCACCCCGATTGTGCCATAATTGGCCTTGACTCCGCACAAATAGGCTGTGGCCGTGGTGGCCGAATCGGGGGTGATTTTGTCCACACTATAGGTTTTGGAGAGCCCGGTGTAGGGAAACTCCTCAAACGACAGCTTGGTGTGCTCCCCCTCAATGTAATTTCGTGCTGCCACCAGGGTCGTCAGACCCATGCCATCGCCCAAAAACATTATGACATTCTTGGCCACCTTGGTATTTTGTTGTTGTTTTTGCTGTTGCCTGATAAACTCCTTGCCTTGATTTAGCCAAAATTCTTGTGTCTCCTCTCCCACTCTCCTCAAAGTTCGCGCATCGTGTATCTCATTACGGAACTCAGGATGCATTAATCGATCTTCCAAATCCTCTTCATCCTGGCGTAAAGTGCCTCGAGCCGTCTGCACGAGCAGGATGAGGAATATTACAGCTTTAAAGGAAAACTCCATGTTTCCGCAAACGCAACCACTTCGACTGAAATTTTCCGTTCAACTAAATCCATGTGGACTCAACGCGTGCCTTAAGTAGGCTCTGTGTTGTTAATATTGTTGTTATCGCCATTCGCCAACTGTCATTCATAATGATCGCTGTCAATTAACTCTCAATTTCCCTCAATGGTCGGGCGATAATTGTTTTTCGGGGCTAACAGATTATCTCAACGTTTTTTTGGAAAACATTTACTTTTTAATATTCGCCACTTGAAAGATAAGAGAGGACACGGTGACGTTGGCCGTTGGCAATTGGCGTGGGAAAAATGGGGGGCTGGGTATAGGTGCCCCCACTTGGGGCAAGGTTCCTTAAGAGTTACTATTTTTTACAAAAAGTCGTTTTTGGGAAGGAGTCGTTCAAGGGAAGAGAAGATTAACTCAAATGCAAAGCATACTTTGAGGAGCAGGACAAAAGTAAAATAAAAAAACAACATCGATTACCAAAAAACGTCTTTGGAATTTTTACTGCAAGTAAAAGTCGAATTCGATACCGATTTTTAAATAAATAAAAGTCGATTTTGATACCGATTTTTAAATAATTGGAAGTGGAGCATAATTAAAAGTGGATCAGGTCAAAAGTAAAGGACAGATTTGAAGTTGTTTTAAACTTCTAAACGAAATATGAAGTAAATCGGGATCTTTACTGCAAGTAAAAGTCGAATTCTATCCCGACATTTTAAATAATTGAAAGTGGAGCAGATCGAAAGTAAAGAACGAATTTGAAGCTGTTTTAAAATCCTAACCGAAACATAATGTAAATCGCGAAAAAAAAAAACAAAAAACAAAATTCGATTACCAGAAAAACGTCTTTGGGATCTTTACTGCAAGTAAAAGTCGAATTCGACTCTGACTTTCAAATAATTGAAAGTGGAGCAGGACAAAAGGTCTGATTTGAAGCTGTTTTTTAACTTCTAACCGAAGTATGATGTAAATCGTGAAAAAAAAAACAAAATCGAGTTCGATTACCAGAAAAGTCGAATTCGATTTCCACATTTTTAAATACCAAATTGTCGAATAACTGAAAGTGGAGCAGGTCAAAAGTAAAGGACGGATTTGAAGCTGTTTTAAACTTTTAAACAAAATAAAATGTAAATCGCGAAAAAAGCCAAAACGAAAATCGATTACCAAAAAACTTTTTCGGAATCTTTACTGCAAGTAAAAGTCGAATTCGAACCTGATTTTTTAAAAAATTGGAAGTGGAACATAATTGGAAGTGGAGCAGGTCAAAAGTAAAGGACGGATTTGAAGTTGTTTTAAACTTCCCAACCGATGTATGATGTAAATCGTGGAAAAAAGAAAACGAAAATCGATAAGTAAGTAAAAGTCGTGCGAGTAAAAGTCGAATTCGATTTCCAGATTTGTATATACCAAATTGTCGAATAGTTGAAAGTGGAGCAGGTCAAAAGTAAAGGACGGATTTGAAGCTGTTTTTAACATCTAACCGAAGTATGATGTAAATCGTGAAAAAAAAAACAAAAACGAATTAGATTACCAAAAAAGACGAATTCGATTTCCAGATTTGTATATACCAAATTGTCGAATAATTGAAAGTGGAGCAGGTCACAAGTAAAGGGCGGAAGTGAAGCTATTTTAAACTTCTAACCGAAATATGATGTAAATCATGAAAAAAAAAAAAAAAATAATAGGAGATCAACTATCAGAAAACGTTTTCGGGATCTTTACTGCAAGTAAAAGTCGAATTCTATCCCAATTTTTGAAATAATTGAAAGTGGAGCAGATCAAAAGTAAAGAACGGATTTGCAGATTTTTTGAAATTCTAACCCATATACGATTAAAATCGTGAAAAAAAGACATCGAAAATGAATTACCAGAAAAACGTCTTTAGAATGTCTACTGCAAGTAAAAGTCGAATTCGATTTCCAGATTTGTATATACCAAATTGTCGAATAATTGAATGTGAAGCAGGTCAAAAGTAAAGGAGAAATTTGAAGCTGTTTTAAACTTCTAAACGAAATTTGATGTAAATCGTGAAAAAAAAAACGAAATTCGATTATCAAAAAACGTTTTCGGATTCTTTACTGCAAGTAAAAGTCGAATTCGATACCGATTTTTTAAATAATTGAAAATTGAAAATACGTCTTGGCGATCTTTAGTTCAAGTAAAAGTCGAATTTTGAACAAAACAATATCGAAAATCGATATTTACTGCAAGTAAAAGTCGAATTCGAACCTGATTTTTAAATAATTGGAAGTGGAGCAGGTCAAAAGTAAAGGATGGAGTTGAAGCTGTTTTAAACTTCCCAACCGAAGTATGATGTAAATTGTGGAAAAAAAGAGAATCGAGAATCGATCGATCGATCGATCGATCGTAAGTAAAAATCGTGCAAGCAAAAGTCGAATTCGATTTACAGATTTTGAAATACCAAATTGTCGAATAATTGTAAGTGGAGCAGGTCAAAAGTAAAGGACGGATTTGAAGCTGTTTTAAACTTCTAAACGAAATATTACATCATATCGATGGAAAAAAATCGAAAACGAAAATCGATTACCAAAAAACGTTGTCGGGATCTTTACTGCAAGTAAAAGTCGAATTATATTCCGATTTTTGAAATAATTGAAAGTGGAGCAGATCGAACGTAAAGAACGGATTTGAAGATGTTTTGAAATTTTAACAGAAATACGATTAAAATCGTGAAAAAAAAACAAAATCGAAAATCAATTACGAAAAAACGTCTTTGGGATCTTTACTACAAGTAAAAGTCGAATTCGATATTAAAAGTCGAGCGAAGTTTCCAATAAAAATCGCAAAATCGAATATAAAAATTATTTTTTGTGACTGTATACTGTGACTATAACAGAAAATCGACATTGGCTTCGACTTGCAGACATTTGAATAAAAAATGGAGTCGAGTTACACTTCCCTTGTTAGGGAGAAAATGAATTCAAATGCAAGGCATCATTTAAGGCACAGGATTGATATGTGGCCTAATAAATAACAGCAAAATCAAAAGAGGAAATATAATTTAGGGAATTTAGACTTCGTCTTCGACTCCTAAACAATTGAATACCAAATGTCAATGAATTGAAAGTAGTGTTGTAAATGTGGCAAATGTAAGGCATACTTTCAGGAGCCGATCAGAAAGAGGGAGAGGCTTATTATTCAAATGGTTTGTTCCAGAACTGAAAGAATGTATAAGTTTTTAGTACGATAACCGACTTTCCATTTATGATATCGAAAAAAAAACTCCAAAATTAGTAGATTCTAGCAGGTTCTGGAACAGAGCAAAAATGTTGAGTCTCTATGGGGAAGGTTCCGAAAGAGTAGGACAATATTGCCCATTTCGTATCTGAGCTTAGTCCAATTGAAATACTACAACTTGCCAGATTTGGAGGATTTTCTTGCATTCTAAGAGGGCTTTGCCCTGTTGACCCCTTTTTTGGTGTAGGTTCCAGAAGTAAGCCGATATATCCCACCTTTACAGCAGACCTTTTGTTAGTAAAAATATTGGGATTTTTTAAATTTGAAGAGAATTAAATGCTTATTTCGCAATTTTTGATCTTCTTGATTCTTCAAATTTTTGACCCGTTGTGGGGGAGGTACCGGAAGGAGTGGTCTGATAGACATATTTGGATGTGAGAAATTCGAAGATAATCTGACATTATTTCACATTTTATAGGGGTTATAATTATTCCAAATTTGTATCTTTTGTGGCAGAGATACTTGATGGAGTGAGCCTATATTGCCCATTTTCCCACCTAACCCTGCAGAGGCAAAAATATTAAGATTTGTAAAATTTGAGGAAAATTGAATGATCCTTTCTTGATCCATGCGCTGTAAATTATTTTCTTAGATATTTTTCTTTTGTGGGGTAGGTACCAGAAGGAGTGGCTCGATATTGCGGATCTCCCAACTCGATTTAAGTTTGACAATAATATTACTATGTAGTAAGTTTGGATCATATTGGATACTCCCATCGAAAGACAGACAGACAGACAGACGGACAGACAGTCGGGCAGACAGTTGGACACCCCTAGATCGAACTCCAAATGTCTTTAAACCGATTTGGTACAAAGAGGCCTAGGGTTGTAACCAACTCTACTGAAAATTCGATGAAGCACGTTTTAGCCGTATCAAATGATCTGTACCCTCTGTAGCCACATGGCAGAGGGTATAAAAAACTAAAAGAGTGCTCGGCAGTACCTCTCGATTTTAAGCGAATTTTGCTAAGTCGAGCAGCCTTCTATGCATTCTTCTATGTTTATACCCTCATAATGTTATGCTGATCAGGAATATGTTTACTTTTTGTTGTCACCGACAAATATTTTAAGGTATTGCAAACAGAATCGGAAATTTAATATATCTTCCATTGTATAGTGGAGGTTATACAAATATTTTGTATTTGTTCGAAGGAGGGGAGAAGAGGTGAAAGAAATAAGAAAAATACACATACATAGAAATACAACAACGGTATAACAAAAAAACTAAAAGGGTGCTCGGCGGGAGTAGTCTCGGCTCGATGTTTGAGCGAATTTTGCTCCCACTCCAAAACGAGGCAAATTTACTCATTCATATTCGAGGAACATATGCTCACTCATATTCGAGCAACATCGAATAACTGAGTTTGCTCGCTTTTGATCGAATTTTGCTCCTCTTTGAAACTCACATTCCAGCGACATTAAAATATTAGCTCGATTTTCTTCTGCTCCCTGGAGCGCACTCGCTCGAATTCGTCTTAGTTTCACTCTTTGAAAAAAATCGAGTGAATATTTTGAAGGCCTGGGTTAATGAGTACTTATCCCCAGTTAAGAAAAATTTTTATTAAAAATTCAAGGCATACTTTGAGGGGTAGGTCAGGGGGGAAGTGGGGAAAGGGGAGGTGATATTGTACTTTTTCTGACACATACAAAGAAATATAGCCACGGTATAACAAAAAAAAAAAAAAAAAAAATTAAAATAGAGATCGGCAGGAGTACAATCTGCTCGAATTTGGACGAAATTTGCTCGCTGTCTAAAACGAGGGATATATGCTCACTCATATTCGAGCGACATC